CGGTAATGATGCAAAAAACAGTTGGTAGCATTACTCTTTCTTCTTCCCTTTTTCCGCATTAAAGTTCAAATACCACTTGATGAAGTTCTTGTGGTGTTCTAATGAAAGTCCTCGGTGTAACCTCATGTGGTCTTTGAGGTGTCCGAAGAATGACTCAAGGCCATTTGAAGTCTTCGGCACATCCGGATGATCAATGAACCGGAACATGTCAGGAAGGGCGTGCCAGATATGAAAGTACGCCTTGCGGATGTTGTCATGTGTATATGACTTTTCTCCCGTGGTAGGAGATACGGTTTTCTCCTTGAGGAACTCTGAGTATTCATCATACCACGCGCTTAGGCAGCGCTTCCAATACAGTTCGTCGTTGCGGGTTTTTATCCGGCTTATTTGGCAGACCAGGCGACGAAGTTCTATACCGGCTGCACTCTTTGGGCGCTGTGTAATCCAGCTCAAGCATTCCCGCTCTATATGGGCCAGGCATCTCTGCCTTATGGCGTCAGGGAAAGTATATTTGACGGCTCTGATGATGTCCTGACCGCCATCTGAGGTGACGCTATCAACCCTGATCTTCATCCTTTTAAGTGCTTTTAAATCAGCGAGGATCTCCAATTCTCTCTCATCGTCCGTTAGTCGGTAGAACAGAGTCGCCTTGATGTTGTTTGCACGATAGACAATCAGGCAGACCTTGTTGGGGAACCATGTTCCATCTATCAGGAGGTTGACTTTTTCATACTTCCGGATCTTCCAGGATGGCGCCTCATCCAGATACTCATAGAACCATGTCTTGAGTTGGCGGACACTGTATCCGCTCATCGCAGAAATCTGATCGATAGTTTGCTTCCCCTCTATCCACCATCGAAACCAGATGAATCTATTTTGATGACTGATATCCTTTCTACGAACTGTAAAAAGACTCCCGCAGTTCTTACACTTATATCGTTGGTGGCCGCATTGTTTGCCCCATTTTATCGTGTCCAAAAAGCCACAGTACGGGCATCTTTCACGCCTCGATTTTGCCATAGAAAAAGTAGTTTGATGAAACGCGTTTCATCAAACTACTCATAATCATGTAAATATCAAATAGTTAGGATGTGTTTCGCCAACTACTTTTTGCACCTATACCTCATTCACCCCGCCCGGCCGTAGGAGAGTTACTCATTGACCGTATTTCTCAAGGTTCTTTTTGGCAATCCTTTCGAGTATTTCCGCAGTAGTGCCCTTCGTGCTTACGCCCGCCTGCTTAGCCTGCTCGACGGCGTTGGCATGGGCGATTCTGTCGATGATCTCCGCCGTGGTGCCCTCCGTGCTGACGCCGGCCTGTTCCGCCTCCTTGACGGCGCTTGCATGAATCCATTCGTCGATGAGTTCATCCGAAGACGGCTGGCCTGAAGGTTCGGGGACTTCGATCGGTTCCGGAGAAGCAACCGCGGCTTCCTCTTGCTTGTCGACAGTCTCAGTGACGGCGGATTCCGGAGCCGTATTGAAACCGTCAGTATTTTTATCGTGCGAATGGAAGAAATAAAAAGCGGCGGCAAGAAGACCTGCGACAATGATCAGGACAGCAGGGGGCAGGCGAATGACCGCGT